AAAATTCCATGACTTTCCAGGTTTTTCATGACCGTACGAACCCTGAATTTAAACGGATGAGATATATAAAAAAAATTCACCCCCCTCACAGTTGTCATGAAGGGCAAAATTAGCTATATAAACCAAAATAATTTTTTTGAACCAGGCTGTAAACATGTTTTTTTCTGCTGTAAAGTTGGGCATTTTAACACGGGGAGTCTATGGGATTGACTCCCTTTTGCAGCCAGCCTCTAGCGGCCAGTCGATGAATTACAGTTTAAGTCACTTCCTTGTTGGCTTCACGAGAGAGAGCGGGAGGTTGCCATTTGGTTTACCCCACGTTTTCTCTCAGTGAGATGTGGAAACAGATGTCTGTATGTTAATGCGCTGTGTGTGTATCGTCCGTCTCAGAAGATCAAAGTGTCTGAGGTTCTGGAATTCTTACAAATGTTACCGTATTCACTGTAGTTGTCCGCTAGTAAAAACATAGTTTTATCAGTCATTATCCGTGTATGCCATTGTTTTGCGTTTACTACAGTTCAGTGGATCAGGAGGTGTGCTGGCTGGTGTGACTGAATGGAGGCGGGGCTAATTTGCATATTCATAAATCGGCGTATAGTAAATGAGGCAAGGGTGTAGAGTTACATTCAAACTACCGTATTGGCCCGAATATAAGACGATCCCCCTTTTTCCAGATGTACCTTTTGGAAATAGGCTTTTTAAAAACCAAATCTAGTTTTTTTTTCTCAGTAAAACACATTTTTCCTATTTTAATTTTTGTTTTGAAAGTATGGTAAAAACTGGTAAAATGTACCAACAATCACATTTAAAAAAAATATACACTTTTTGATATACCATTAAAAAAAACAAGTAGCCCATCTGAATTAGGACATTTAGGCTATCCATCTAATAGTAGCCTACCACATCTTATTAACAGTAGAAGTTAAATCTTACTGTAGTCTTCAAATCTGGGTACTGTGTTACGTTTTAAAATCACAAAGAGAGTTTGGTCGCATCAGGCTAACGTGACAGTCACGACTCATGCAGCTGTAAGCTTTTCTTTTTCTTTAGTTTTTACTCGCGATCTTTACAACACGCATTACATTACGTATTTCATGGCACACTGGTTTTATGCGTATTTGGCGCTACCTATTGTTGTGGGTGTATTATTGACATGTCAAAGTCTAGACCCCGAATATAAGACGACCGCGTTTTTTCAGATGTATTTCCAAGAAAAAAAACATCGTCTTATATTCAGGACAATACGGTAATTTTACGTTTTTGCTCAAGAAAAAATTTTAATATGTCATTTTGATGATTAAAGATTAGCTTTAACGGATAAAACTTTTGACTACAGGGGGACTTTAACCCTTTGGGCGCCAGGTTTTTTTTGGAAAAATGCTGGATTTTGACATCAAGATTTCAAAAGCTTGTGGCTTGAAAGGGCTTAAAGATAGAGATCTACTGTAAACTAGAAAAATGTTGGGCATGACCAAAAGTTTATGTGGGGTGTAAATATACTCATCTAATTTGCATATTATGACGTCATCAGGGGGCAGCCCTCTTGAATGTCATAATATTCAGGAAATGGTAGATATTGAATTGATGTTTGAACTTATTTGCATGATTTTGTATTTTTATCCTCATTCCAAATGATCAGAAAAGAGGAAACCAACAATAAAACAGGAGAAAGTACTAAATTATTACTATATTACTATACTATATAGTAGTAAAAGCATGTGAACAGTAGCCTACTTTTTCATCAGTTCATCAGTAATATTCAGGAAATAATAGATATTGCCCTGCCACCCCCATCCCCGATGGGCAAAGGGTCGAAATTATCACTTGTTTGTGCTTCGTGAACACTCGCGTCTTGCACGGCAGCACCATTGCGCTGCAAAGATGTACCGGGAGAAGCGCGATTATTAGACGACCGATCGTCATTTCCAAAAGGCAAATATTCCCCTGCAGAGTCAGAATCGGCGAATAACATTTGCAACATCCTCACGGTACAACTTTTTATTAGCCATTTGGTGATTTTCTCACAAATCTCACAATTTACTCGCACGCTGCTTCCGCATCAATGACACGATAGCTCACTTGCTCTGCTGTTTCCTCAAACACTTTGAATAGGAAGGTGACGTAATATTGGTCTAGAATCGAAGTACTACATGTCTGCCATCTAGTGGTAGGGAATACAAATGAGATATTACACCATATTAAGAACTACAGTCTTTTTGATTAAGTATGACGACTTTGGCGCTAAGAGGGTTAATAAAGAAATGAAAATAAATAACCACTTTGCCATTAAAAACGAAACTGAACTATTTTAATGGCTACAAGAGCAGCGGTGTAATTGGAGAAGAGAGAACGAAAAAAGGGCGAACTAGGGCATATGTTTGAGGTCCGTGCAGGGTTCTACCGAGTTTGTTTGGTGCCAAACTCAATTTGGTACTCCCAAGGCGGCTTATATGAACGAGCGCGCTTTGGATGCGACTGCGTTTAAAAAGACATGTAAATAAATAATACATTTGTGAGACGATGCAACAATGACGCGATTAGGCAAGTGACAATTCTGTCAACTGTACTGAAACTAGGGCTGGACGATATGGCCTAAATTGATATCACGATATATTTCTTAATTTCGGTCGATACGATATAATTCCGATATCGATATGAACACTATTTATCTGAAATAGAAATCTTTTGCAACATTATAAATGCCTATCATCACTTTTGATCAATTTTAAGCATCCTTGCTAAATAAAAGTATTAATTTCTATAATTTCTTTCCCAAAAAAATTATAAAAATGATACTGAATGGAATAGTGTGTAATGTTACAAAAGCTTTTTATTTCAGATAAATGCTGATCTTTGGATATTTCTATTCATCAAAGAATCCTGAAAAAAAAATGTACTCAACTGTTTTAAATATTGATAATCAGCAGATCAGCATATTAGAATGATTTCTGAAGATCATGTGACACCTATGTATGATCATAGGAATAAATTACATTTTTAAATATATTCAAATAGAAAGCTATTTTAAATAGTAAAACTATTTCAAAATTTTAATGTTTTTGCTGTACTTTGGATCAAATAAATGCAGCCTTTGTGAGCAGAAGAGAATTAAACAAAAAAATAGAGCAACAACAAAAGCATGTTGCTGGAAATGGGTTTATTATTGTAAATGCAAACTCATTGTCTGCCAGCAGGAGGCGCTGTGAGCGGCAGAACTAACGGTTTCTCCAGTAATGACTGTAATCAAATCAGCTCCGCTCATGAACGCTTCTTTATCAGATCAAATGAAAATGCAATGGAAGCTTTTCTGAAGACAGTCGGTTCCCTTCAGAGACACATTCATATAAAACACCCGCGCCGTGTTATGATTTTGAAACGTGCAGTGCTCATGTTTATTCAACGAAGTCAAACGGCACAAATAAATCAATGTATGGGAAACACTGATAATGTATATCGAAATATCGGAAATGCGTTTAAAAATCATATCACCGTTATTGAAAAAAATTATATCGCGATACATATTGATATTGAATTATTGTCCAGCCCTAACTGAAACGCGAGCGAAGGTTTTGTATCGCAGCGTGCCGCAATGTTTTAAGAGAAAGTCAAAGAGAGAAGACGCGGTACAGCTGAATCACTCGCGCGGTTTTCAAATGATCTGATATTCTGTGTGAATTTATTTATTCATCAAACCTACATGCTATAGGCTAGTGAATAAATGTGTGAATATCCATTGTTTTAAAGTCAAAAGCTGCAGGAATGAGTAAACCGATGCAATATAGCCCATGCGCAATCCCGCACCGAAATTCAGGACCTGATTAAACAATTTTAATCTTTTTGTGAAATAGATTTCCACGACTTTTCCGAAACTTTCTGGGTTTATTTATTTTTCCAAAACTTTTCCGGGGCCTGGAAATTGCGGTTTAAAAATTCCGTGACTTCTCCAGGTTTTTCATGACCGTACGAACGCCGCACAAGCTTTTCTTCAGAAATGCGATCAAGTAAAAGTACTAAAAGTTTGAAAACGTACTTCGGTAAAATACAAATCCCCCAAAGTAATGAGTACAGTAGTTTAGTTCAATTTCTCAAGTATTTTACACACCTGGACATGGTTCAAAAAATATAATGCATTCCTGTAGAGCTCGGCACTTTAATAACAATCAAATGAGAATATAAACCAACCTGTTTGTTCCTCAGTATCTTTTTGTTTGACTCTGAATCTTTCTTCAGTCTTCATTCTCCACTTTAATAAACGCCGTCTTTATAACAATGTGTAGATCTCAGCAGGAGGTTTTCTGTGTGTTTGGACAATCTGTCATGTTAAAGATGAGAATAATCCAACAATGAAAAACCAATCTCAAAAACTAAATCTCAGCATTGCGTCTCAATCAGCTCCCTAGTTCAGTACTCACTCAGCTCCCTAGTTCACTACTCACTCAGCTCCCTACTTCACTACTCACTCAGCTCCCTACTTCACTACTCACTCAGCTCCCTACTTCACTACTCACTCAGCTCCCTACTTCACTACTCACTCAGCTCCCTACTTCACTACTCACTCAGCTCCCTACTTCACTACTCACTCAGCTCCCTACTTCACTACTCACTCAGCTCCCTACTTCACTACTCACTCAGCTCCCTACTTCACTACTCACTCAGCTCCCTACTTCACTACTCACTCAGCTCCCTACTTCACTACTCACTCAGCTCCCTAGCTCCCTACTTCAGTACTCAGCTCCCTAGCTCCCTACTTTCCCTACTTCAGTAGTCGGCTCCCTAGCTCCCTACTTCAGTAGTCGGCTCCCTAGCTCCCTACTTCAGTAGTCGGCTCCCTAGCTCCCTACTTCAGTAGTCGGCTCCCTAGCTCCCTACTTCAGTAGTCGGCTCCCTAGCTCCCTACTTCAGTAGTCGGCTCCCTAGCTCCCTACTTCAGTAGTCGGCTCCCTAGCTCCCTACTTCAGTAGTCGGCTCCCTAGCTCCCTACTTCAGTAGTCGGCTCCCTAGCTCCCTACTTCAGTAGTCGGCTCCCTAGCTCCCTACTTCAGTAGTCGGCTCCCTAGCTCCCTACTTCAGTAGTCGGCTCCCTAGCTCCCTACTTCAGTAGTCGGCTCCCTAGCTCCCTACTTCAGTAGTCGGCTCCCTAGCTCCCTACTTCAGTAGTCGGCTCCCTAGCTCCCTACTTCAGTAGTCGGCTCCCTAGCTCCCTACTTCAGTAGTCGGCTCCCTAGCTCCCTACTTCAGTAGTCGGCTCCCTAGCTCCCTACTTCAGTAGTCGGCTCCCTAGCTCCCTACTTCAGTAGTCGGCTCCCTAGCTCCCTACTTCAGTAGTCGGCTCCCTAGCTCCCTACTTCAGTAGTCGGCTCCCTAGCTCCCTACTTCAGTAGTCGGCTCCCTAGCTCCCTACTTCAGTAGTCGGCTCCCTAGCTCCCTACTTCAGTAGTCGGCTCCCTAGCTCCCTACTTCAGTAGTCGGCTCCCTAGCTCCCTACTTCAGTAGTCGGCTCCCTAGCTCCCTACTTCAGTAGTCGGCTCCCTAGCTCCCTACTTCAGTAGTCGGCTCCCTAGCTCCCTACTTCAGTAGTCGGCTCCCTAGCTCCCTACTTCAGTAGTCGGCTCCCTAGCTCCCTACTTCAGTAGTCGGCTCCCTAGCTCCCTACTTCAGTAGTCGGCTCCCTAGCTCCCTACTTCAGTAGTCGGCTCCCTAGCTCCCTACTTCAGTAGTCGGCTCCCTAGCTCCCTACTTCAGTAGTCGGCTCCCTAGCTCCCTACTTCAGTAGTCGGCTCCCTAGCTCCCTACTTCAGTAGTCGGCTCCCTAGCTCCCTACTTCAGTAGTCGGCTCCCTAGCTCCCTACTTCAGTAGTCGGCTCCCTAGCTCCCTACTTCAGTAGTCGGCTCCCTAGCTCCCTACTTCAGTAGTCGGCTCCCTAGCTCCCTACTTCAGTAGTCGGCTCCCTAGCTCCCTACTTCAGTAGTCGGCTCCCTAGCTCCCTACTTCAGTAGTCGGCTCCCTAGCTCCCTACTTCAGTAGTCGGCTCCCTAGCTCCCTACTTCAGTAGTCGGCTCCCTAGCTCCCTACTTCAGTAGTCGGCTCCCTAGCTCCCTACTTCAGTAGTCGGCTCCCTAGCTCCCTACTTCAGTAGTCGGCTCCCTAGCTCCCTACTTCAGTAGTCGGCTCCCTAGCTCCCTACTTCAGTAGTCGGCTCCCTAGCTCCCTACTTCAGTAGTCGGCTCCCTAGCTCCCTACTTCAGTAGTCGGCTCCCTAGCTCCCTACTTCAGTAGTCGGCTCCCTAGCTCCCTACTTCAGTAGTCGGCTCCCTAGCTCCCTACTTCAGTAGTCGGCTCCCTAGCTCCCTACTTCAGTAGTCGGCTCCCTAGCTCCCTACTTCAGTAGTCGGCTCCCTAGCTCCCTACTTCAGTAGTCGGCTCCCTAGCTCCCTACTTCAGTAGTCGGCTCCCTAGCTCCCTACTTCAGTAGTCGGCTCCCTAGCTCCCTACTTCAGTAGTCGGCTCCCTAGCTCCCTACTTCAGTAGTCGGCTCCCTAGCTCCCTACTTCAGTAGTCGGCTCCCTAGCTCCCTACTTCAGTAGTCGGCTCCCTAGCTCCCTACTTCAGTAGTCGGCTCCCTAGCTCCCTACTTCAGTAGTCGGCTCCCTAGCTCCCTACTTCAGTAGTCGGCTCCCTAGCTCCCTACTTCAGTAGTCGGCTCCCTAGCTCCCTACTTCAGTAGTCGGCTCCCTAGCTCCCTACTTCAGTAGTCGGCTCCCTAGCTCCCTACTTCAGTAGTCGGCTCCCTAGCTCCCTACTTCAGTAGTCGGCTCCCTAGCTCCCTACTTCAGTAGTCGGCTCCCTAGCTCCCTACTTCAGTAGTCGGCTCCCTAGCTCCCTACTTCAGTAGTCGGCTCCCTAGCTCCCTACTTCAGTAGTCGGCTCCCTAGCTCCCTACTTCAGTAGTCGGCTCCCTAGCTCCCTACTTCAGTAGTCGGCTCCCTAGCTCCCTACTTCAGTAGTCGGCTCCCTAGCTCCCTACTTCAGTAGTCGGCTCCCTAGCTCCCTACTTCAGTAGTCGGCTCCCTAGCTCCCTACTTCAGTAGTCGGCTCCCTAGCTCCCTACTTCAGTAGTCGGCTCCCTAGCTCCCTACTTCAGTAGTCGGCTCCCTAGCTCCCTACTTCAGTAGTCGGCTCCCTAGCTCCCTACTTCAGTAGTCGGCTCCCTAGCTCCCTACTTCAGTAGTCGGCTCCCTAGCTCCCTACTTCAGTAGTCGGCTCCCTAGCTCCCTACTTCAGTAGTCGGCTCCCTAGCTCCCTACTTCAGTAGTCGGCTCCCTAGCTCCCTACTTCAGTAGTCGGCTCCCTAGCTCCCTACTTCAGTAGTCGGCTCCCTAGCTCCCTACTTCAGTAGTCGGCTCCCTAGCTCCCTACTTCAGTAGTCGGCTCCCTAGCTCCCTACTTCAGTAGTCGGCTCCCTAGCTCCCTACTTCAGTAGTCGGCTCCCTAGCTCCCTACTTCAGTAGTCGGCTCCCTAGCTCCCTACTTCAGTAGTCGGCTCCCTAGCTCCCTACTTCAGTAGTCGGCTCCCTAGCTCCCTACTTCAGTAGTCGGCTCCCTAGCTCCCTACTTCAGTAGTCGGCTCCCTAGCTCCCTACTTCAGTAGTCGGCTCCCTAGCTCCCTACTTCAGTAGTCGGCTCCCTAGCTCCCTACTTCAGTAGTCGGCTCCCTAGCTCCCTACTTCAGTAGTCGGCTCCCTAGCTCCCTACTTCAGTAGTCGGCTCCCTAGCTCCCTACTTCAGTAGTCGGCTCCCTAGCTCCCTACTTCAGTAGTCGGCTCCCTAGCTCCCTACTTCAGTAGTCGGCTCCCTAGCTCCCTACTTCAGTAGTCGGCTCCCTAGCTCCCTACTTCAGTAGTCGGCTCCCTAGCTCCCTACTTCAGTAGTCGGCTCCCTAGCTCCCTACTTCAGTAGTCGGCTCCCTAGCTCCCTACTTCAGTAGTCGGCTCCCTAGCTCCCTACTTCAGTAGTCGGCTCCCTAGCTCCCTACTTCAGTAGTCGGCTCCCTAGCTCCCTACTTCAGTAGTCGGCTCCCTAGCTCCCTACTTCAGTAGTCGGCTCCCTAGCTCCCTACTTCAGTAGTCGGCTCCCTAGCTCCCTACTTCAGTAGTCGGCTCCCTAGCTCCCTACTTCAGTAGTCGGCTCCCTAGCTCCCTACTTCAGTAGTCGGCTCCCTAGCTCCCTACTTCAGTAGTCGGCTCCCTAGCTCCCTACTTCAGTAGTCGGCTCCCTAGCTCCCTACTTCAGTAGTCGGCTCCCTAGCTCCCTACTTCAGTAGTCGGCTCCCTAGCTCCCTACTTCAGTAGTCGGCTCACTAGCTCCCTAGTTCAGTAGTCGGCTCACTAGCTCCCTACTTCAGTAGTCAGCTCACTAGCTCCCTAGTTCAGTAGTCAGCTCACTAGCTCCCTAGTTCAGTAGTCAGCTCACTAGCTCCCTAGTTCAGTAGTCAGCTCACTAGAAATTACTTAAACAATTGAACTACAGCCTAATCCTTTCTTAAACTAAGCCCCGTCTGCGAAACCAGGCCATTAGACAAAAACAAAAAAAACACACGCACAACAAATTAACAGAAGAACACAAATTACAGACATTTCGTGTTTAGACACTTCAGCATTCATATTGTGATGATTTGTTTGATCGCATTTACTCGACTGCACTTTCGTCAAAACATCTGCTGCGGATTATTACACGCGTTTGTGTTCGCACTGTTTAGTCCAGCACGAGCGATAATAAACAGAGAATCGTTTTGGGAAGCAGCTGACTCGTAGTTTCTGTTTTGTCCAGCACTAATGAGCGAATTCGTGTTTATGCTAAGCTAAGCTAAGCTGATTCTCGATTCTGTTACTCGATCAAAACAACGTGCTTATAATCGCTAGATAGAGTGTTACAGTCGATATTAATGAATTAACTTTACATCGCTTGTAAAAACTATACGACTCGACGGTTTGCATTGATGTAAACGCTGTAAATGTTTAAAAACACACACCTTTGTTCAGCCGGATCACAACAGATGCAGAAGCGCGAAGCTGTGTGTTGACCCTCTTCTTCTTCTTCTATCTTCTTCTTCTTCTTCTTTGGTGTTTTAGCTCCCCCTCGCTGGATCTAGTGGGCGGGGCTTAATGCGCTATCAAGCGCCACCACATGCACAATTCTATATCCCACTGTATTGTACTTGATAAGAACATTACTCACACTATATATGTGTGTGTTTCTAACACCTTTTTAAACTTTGCATCTATGTAAAC